GGGGGCATCCCAGCAAAAGAATGAATGAAAAACTATGATCGCCGATGTCTGTCGCAGATATGGCACTTGATGATGACACAAAGACTTACTATTAAGACACAACAGTGTTGGGGCAATCCTGGGACAGCTAATGGGCGAGAGACATTCATGACGGGCTCCGTACGCGCGCGCGCGCACACACACACAAACTAAAACACATACACACAGAGAAAGAAGCACACACATAAACAAAAACGACCGTGTCAACAGACAGGTCGTGGACGTAAATAGTTTCGCCTGTACTGTACGCTGGTTGTTGTAAAGCAATTACTTTCCACACACGGTTAATTACATAAAACTTCAGCATTAAATTTTGCTTTGTTTTCATTACATTTTAAAGCAAGTCTTTTTAAAGCCCTGTCAACACGATATCATGAACGAGGAGTTGGGCTGCGACTCTGCCTGCCAAGCGCAATCCAGGCAGTGACGGCTACAACATCCCAACGTGAAAGACGGAGATACAAGTACATGTACAATGTACTCATATTATAAAGACTCGTCACTCAGGAATTGTACTTGGTTCTCCTGAGTGCGGCGGCGAAGAGCCATATCGCTGCATCACAGATAGCGGTACATCATAATAAAACTAGAGAAAAACAAAACAATAACAATGACAAAGAAATGACAGGTTACAAAGTCCCACGACCAAATTTGGAAGATACTATGAATCTTCTTCCTCACTGCGTTCCCTGCTAGACCTCAGATGTAGCAGCCAACTGTAGGTACTTCAACATGATTTTTTTTTTCACGTATGTGACCAACACTGACTAGACAATGCTCAAGATTTGTTGGAAATTCGGATGGCAGCCAAAGCCTACGCTATATCGATTTTAGAACCACCAAGGATCTTTAAACATGCGCAACTTGCTAAGAAAGGGAGGAGAGATCAGGATGATAGGTGATTGATAAGAAAGGAAGTAGCAAACCATACCACAGCACCCTCCAACTACCCACGAATCAGGAAAAACCGCAGATGGAGCTACAGGCACAAGAGTGGTGAACAAAAAACGGCGTTCTCAGAATCCAACAGGTCATTTAGTGCAGGAAAAAAGTAAAACAGAAAGAACTATGGTAAAGGTAAGACATGGGATCTACCAGCGGCGCCCTCTTACCACCTAAAATATATTATTTTAAATAACAAAACTAACACATGAGACAACCCAGTGCGACATAGACACAAGAAAATCCACCGAGACACACAGAGGCGTGAAAGCCGATTGAAATACACACAGAGAGAAGAAAATCCTTTGACACACATACATACACAGACAGCGAGAAAATCAATACAGAACGCATACAGACGACTAAATTCATTGATACTCATAGGCATAGACAGCGAGAAAACCCCTAGAGGACATACATACAGAGGAGAAAACCCACTGAGACTAACACACAGAGAGCGAGAAAGCCCACAGAGGACAGAGACATTCAGAGGAGAAAACCCACTGAGACAAACACACAGAGAGCGAGAAAGCCCACAGAGGACAGAGACATTCAGAGGAGAAAACCCATTGAGACAAACACACAGACAGCGAGAAAGCCCACAGAGGACAGAGACATTCAGAGGAGAAAACTCATTGAGACAAACACACAAACGGCGAGAAAGCCCACAGAGGACACAGGTACAGAGGAGAAAACCCATCAAGACAAAAACACAGACGGCGACTGTAACACATACACAAACGGCGTGAAAAGGCCCACAGAGGACACTGACCTTTACTCCTGTTCTTCTTCTTGTCTTTCTTCTTGTTGTTGGAGTCGCTGACGCCCATCCCGGCGAGACCGTCCCGGCACATGTTGTAAGAGGCGTAGATCACGTCCTGCTTCTGCGGCCGGTCCAGACCCATGGAAATCCGCTCGTCGAACCTCAGGGGAGGCTGCCTGGCCGAGGGGGAGAAGGCTGTGTGCGGGGTGACGGCGCTGGTGGTGGTGGTGGTGGCGGTAGAGGTGGAGGAGGAGCGGTGGGAGGTGAGGAAGTGGTCGTCCACGTCGTCGTCTCTGTCCTCGTTGTCCGAGTGCTTGTCCTCCGAGTCGGCGGAGCCCGTGTAGTGCCAGCACACGCTATTGTGCTTATTGTCCTGCCGGGAGTAGAGAAGCCTGTGCTCGTTGAGCCGGCCTCCTACTCCTTCCTCCTCCTCTTCATCCTCGTCCCCCTCCCCCCGCCGGCCCGGGAAGGAGGAGGTCCGCGGAGAGAAGGTGGTCATCTCGTACTCCCCATTAGTCACAGAATTGTTGGAGCGCGGAGACTCCACGCTAGAGCCGCCCGTGCTGGAGCCGACCTTGACCTCTTCGTCGTACGGGGGGTTGAGCGAGGGAGTGATGCGCACATGCTGGGTCTTTCGCTGCTGCTGCTGGTGGTGGTGGTGGTGATGTTGCTGCGGGGTGTAGTCAAAGACTCCGGCCCGCTCGTCTCCGCTGTCATCCTCCTCCTCTTCCTCCTCCTCCTCTCCGTCCCCGTCCGCGCTACTGGTAGGGTTACTCACGCTTGTTTTGAAGCTGCCGCCAGAGGCATCGGGCAGACCAGAGTCCTCCTCGTCCCCGCCGCCCCGGCCCAGATCCAGGCGGGATTTGAACTCAGGCAGCGTGCAGGACACGGCGCTCTTTTCCCCTGGGACGTCGTGGTGGCGGTATATCTCCGCCAGTGGCAGGCCTGACAAGGTGTAGTGCGGCGTGTCCTTGCCGCGGCGTCGTCCGTCACACAAGGCAGAGCTGTTGTTGTCCCCCGTCCCGCACTGCTCCTCGCTCCCGCTGTCCATGTCGGAGAGGCTCAGAGGCGGCACAACAGGCAGCCCGCCCCCCGCGTGATGACTCATGTCGGACCGACCAGAGGCCAGGCTGAACGTGCGCGCGTTGAGCACTAGACCGTTGAACTCATGTTCAGGGAGCTCACACACTTGCCGGGCGCCCTCCTTGATTGTGGATAACTGAGGACACGAGAAACAAATAGAGGCAATTGTTACAACCACGTCTCAAGAGTAAAATCTCCCCAGTTTGTGTTTGTACGAGTAACTAAAGACATGAGAAACGGAGGCCATCGCAACAACTGACTAAAGAGTAAGATCTCGTCAGTTTGTTAGTGTTTGAGAGCGTGGAATCCGCAGTTTGCACTGTTTGATACCCAGGAAACCGAGAATGTTTTCCAGTGTTCTAAGGCCTGCCGGGGTAAACTGTTTGTAAAGCACATAGGGTATGTTTTAGAGCACAGGCATGCACTACGTAAAAGCAATTAATTATTATTGCTATTATAACAGTTATAGCCATTGCACTTGAAGACATTTTCTGCACACTTCTATGGCGTGATTATATTGCGAGTTGCAAGTCCGTAAAACTCATACTAAAACGATGTTTTAGGCCCACAACAACACAACTTGAATAATTCAGGAAACAGGCTGTTTCGACCATGCTTGTTAGCGCCAACACAAGCCCAGGCTTAGAGGGATACACCGTCACAATAGATTGACTGAAATACTCGATAAGAGCTTAACTGCTACATCACAGACAGTGGTAGAGGCAAATGCATTGTGTATATAAGTATGTAAAAGTTTGATCATAGACAACCGTGGGTATCATAAACAAACACACACACACACACACACACCAAATATAACAAAACGATATTGTTTCATGTATGTATCCCACACCTCCATCCAAACAATTGAGATCATCATTTAGGGGCGGCCCGGTAAGACCCTGACTGTCGGGATTAACCCCGAGGCTGTGGCCTGAATGGGATAGAACTGGGGTGACGATGGTTGTACTTGTACAACGCATAGAGCCTGCTGTAGAGCGTGGATATCGCTATATAAATGCAACATTTACGACTGCTTTATTATTATCTTATTATTAATATTATTATTTGTATTACTATTATTCTTACAAGATATCTTTCCCGCCTACCGCCGGGTACCATTCCCACTTCGATGAAGTGAGAAGAATTCATACAACATACCTCTACCAAGGGTATGATATCGGCCCCATGGCAGTGCTCAAACCCATGACCCTTCAGTCACAAAGCACAAACGACACTTCTGTCTTGCAAACTACTACAAATAAGTCTTACGTCTTGCTCCAAAAATTCTACGCACCAAACAGGCGCCAAAATTTTGAAAACGTCAATACAACGAAGTAAACATTTTGCGGGTCTAAACGAACACACCGTGTTGTGGACATGACTATATCAAATGTATCTAGAAAAAGTCAATAAAATGAAGTTTGGCCTAAAGTATCCATTGACACTGTCAAGAACACACCCAAACAGAGTTGGATATCGAGATTCTAGTTCTATAAGTAGAAGTAGCAGCTGTTTCACCCGCACGAAGAAGACCAATATGAAACGGAAGTAGTCCCCACATATGAAATGGCTAATGGCAGAGTGAAAACATATGAGAGCTTTGATTTACAGGAAAAACCATCAAACCTGAGAAATCAAAAGGTAGTTTCCGAACTTCGAAAAATATGCCCACGTAACCCTTTGGGACAATTCTTGTCGGAATCATATTTTTGTAGATTTTATGGGCACCTGTGTAAAAAGTTTTTACTGACCCCACAAACAGGCTTAGCTCCATTATAATAAGATTATTACTGTTATTATCAGTCGTATTATTGTCATCATCATCATCATATTATCTTTCATTCTTATTTTTTATTATTGCTTTTTCTTCGTATATTATTGTTAATTATTATGACAGCATTTCCAGTAGGCAGAATGGACAAAGCCCAATTAAAAAAACAAACAACAATTATAAACCCTCCCCAACTTGGTTATTGAACACACATCTTCAGCGAACCAGACGGCTACAACACGGAGCCAAGTAGTGATATTTCACTGTGTGCTTTACGGCGTGGCTTAGCAAAAAGCAACTAATTTCATGTTGTAACTCCAACGGGCTTTTGCGGAAAAAAAACCTTCTCACTATAAAAACGAACCCCATGTGTGCGTGTGTGTTGGCCCACGCGCATGCTTGTGTCTTGTGTATGAGAGAGAATTGAGAGAGAGAGAGAGAGAGAGAGAGAGAGAGAGAGAGAGAGAGAGAGACAGAGAACAAAGCAAAGAGGGGATATTTGACAAGCAAAACAGACATAATATAGGGGAGAAGACAGCGACATTGAGAGACAAAAGGCAGAGTAAGACATACAAAAAGCCAAATTTAAAAAAACAACACATAGAATGCAATATATTGTACTGATATAAGTTTTTTAAAGACCTCATTTCCTATCAAACATCTACATTATATTGTATCGCCCTTCGACTCTGCCTGTCAGAACCAATTTGTGATGGGAAGAATACGATGTCTCAGAAGACAGACAAAGACGCCCTACACGGGAATCGAACTCACCTCAGCTGCGTGCGACAGCAAAGCGCCTGGCATTAGTAGATGAAAACAGAGAGAGAGAGAGAGAGAGAGAGAGAGAGAGAGAGAGAGAGAGAGAGAGAGAGAGAGTGAGAGAGGGGGGGAGAAAGAAAGAAAGTTAGATAGAAATAAAGAAAAGAAAGAAGGAAAGAAAGACATAGAGCGAGACAGAGATGATCGGCTCGCGTCCAACTGGCTTCCTGGTGCGCCATTGATCAGCGAGCGACGTGCTACAGCATTGGGTGCAGCCACTCCGCGCAGGAATAATCAATAGCTGCACAACTCATTCACAACAAAGGCTAACAATAGCTGTACATGTTTCTCCAGGACCCTGCGTCCGATTTCCCTTCCTAACCCCATACAAAACCATACTTGTTTGTTTGTTTGTTTGTTAAAGGTTTTTATTACCTAAACATTTACACTCTTTGCAAAACAATCAGGTCATGTAAGTGTCGAGGATTTTCTCTTTTAGTAAGAGGTTTACGGCACTTGCAACACAATTAGGTTATAATATAAGAGCCAAAGAATAGAGGTGTTACAAGAGAGTAACAAACACAAAAAAGGAGGGGAGATAAGGACGATAGATGTTTGAGACTTCTGCGTGCGACGGCAACACGCCAAACTGCTATACCACAAATGCTGGACGTCAGATTAGCATGTTTAGAGAGAAGAATACCAACACAATAATGGTCAAAGTCAAAGAGCATACTAGGGAAAGGTAAGATGGACAAACAGAAACAACAGAGGGAACAGCGGCGCCGTCCAACCACCCTCAGTGCTTTCGAGTTTAAACGCCACATAAAAACAACTAGGCTGTCATCCTGCACAGACAAAACAACACTGGTCCGTATGCGCGTGTTTCTATAATACAGTCGAAATTGTCTAAGACGACCACCCACTATCGATGATGAAAAACTGCCGTCTTCACAGCCCTTAACACGGTGTCATAACATTTTAAAAAATAACCCAACGGGGGAAATTGGAAGGAGCCGTTTGTACGGGTCATTGTCTTATACAAATGGCCAGTAGAGCAGGTTCGGGAAAATTTCATTCGCACAGACAAGACAACGCTGTTCCGTCCATATGCGCGTGTTTCTATTATATATTTTAATGTACTGTCTGCGGCAGAACAAGATACACCAAACGTAGCAACACCTGGCGCCACGCTCCTACAAGCATGCACAAGGCAGGCCAAGATGAATACATAAGCAGGGTATCACTGTACACCCAGCTTAGGGGAATACAAGGAGAAATCTAGATATATATCTTCTTATGTCGCCCGATTCAAGAACCAGCTGGAGCTTTGGTTTGGGGGTTCGAAGGATGGTTCGTTTTAATTTCAGAGATGCGGTGTATAACATTCGTAGAAAGTTTGGTAGATAATATACAGTCGAACTTGTCCAAACGGCCACCTATACAAGAGTAACAAGACAACCACATGAACAAACGACCACTTACAACTTTGCAGTTTTTCTATATTGCCGAACCTGCTCTATCAACGAATTGCCCAATGACAGCCACCTGAAAAAAAACACAAAAAAAACCCCAGCCACTTCCCACCTTGGGGGTCATTTTTCTTTACAGTCAAACCTCCACTAGTCCGCTAACGGCCACTTGTCCAAGACATGTAAAAACGACACACTTCCCAATTGTTGTTGTTTTTTTCTCCCTATAATATTACAATATAATGACAAACTATTCAAAAGGACCACCTGTCTCAGATGAAAACTTTCTCCTTGACGATGGGTGATCGTTTTGAACAGATTCAACGGTATTTCCTCAGTGTACACATCTGTGTCAGCACATTTGATAAGTTTCGGAAGCCAGCACGGAGCTGACACCGGTTGTCTGTGGTGCAGCGAGGTTATAATGGAGGATTTCCGTCTGCCTGCAGGGCGGTTGTTTTATCCCTCTCAGCCAGAGTCGGCCCTGACAGGCAGGGTCGAAGCAACCCGTCGCCTAAATTATCTAAAATGTGTCAATGGTGACGTCAAATATCTACAAAAACAACCATGGTGCCAATCCATCTAAACAAAAGAAGGGGGGAAAAAAAG